TTCATTTTCTCTTCAGTCATTTTATTCTTATGTTAACTTTTTTTTTACTTTTCAGTTGATTCACTTCTAAGAGCGTGTTTTTTAGTTTTAAACTATAATTTTTAACAAAAAAATAAAAAGATCCCAACAAGAGGGGTTGGGTCAGCTTCTCTCACTCCTCATTGGAGTAGATATTTCTCTGTTCTTGGTCTATTACCAATCGATGGAACAATTGTCATGAGTTGTTCCAATTGTCGCTGGAACAACTTATGGTATGGTTTATATTCAATCTATAGTTATTTCGACCTGTGAAGACTCAGACAGACACTCGCTGATTTCTGAGTCTCATTATACATGGTACCGAATATCTGCTATCAGATTTGAGTCACATTTTTCTCACCAGTACAAAAACATTACATGTAATAAATTTAACTACCCACAATACAGCTTGTCTGCAGTCAAATGTGAGTGATATATTTGTCAAATACATTACAATATTACATACATACAATATTGTTTTGACGTACATTCTGAACGTGAAGTATGCAGGAACATAGATAGATGATAGAAATGCATTTTGTAATGTTTCTGCATATTGTTTTCTTGCAGAAAACGACCTTCAGGAAAAATTCATCAAAATTGAAAAAGAATTTAAGAGATCATATTGCAAGCCAAATAATATGTTATTCTCAACTCATAATTGAGCTAATCTTCTTTGATTTTCACCATTGTAGATGGATAATAGTAATATAGAAAATAATATATATATATACTATAATATTTAATACAATATTTGATAATAGTAATATTTCAAGCATACCATTAGAACGTAAAAACAAATTATGCAACCTTCTTGTATTATGAGTTATTGTTATAACGTGTATTTCAAGCCATAATTGTTTAACCATCAATTTGGCTCATTAAAAATTAATCGTTGAGTTATATATGATGCTTAGAAGTTTTCACTTCATGTGAGACAGAGTTTGCACGAAAGCTCTAGATCGATACACTGGGTTTGATCTATGCAACATTTTGAGTTGCATACAAAGTTATTCGAATAATATGAGTATGTGAGTCAACAAGTACTTGCAGCCATGATCTTTCTTACTTATTGGGTGATGCACCACATTGCTATTATATTTATTAAAGTATTTAAAAATGTTATTATGTTAGAGCTCTGATGTGTCGTGGATCATACACAATAAAAGTCATTTGCAATACAAAATAATAATAAAATAATACGCCTAAAATTTTGCCATTCTGTACTATCGAATCTAAGTAATAAATATTAGCAATTTCATTTTTAACAGAGAATCTAGTGATTTCAAAGTAATTTGTATATAGAAAATTATTAGTATATCAAAATAACAATACGCATGCCAATAAAGAATGTCCATTCATAAAAAAAATACTATCAGCAAAAAGAGATAATCGATAACAAAAATATATCGATTTCCAACATTCTGAATCGATTCCTGTGGTTGTCAAGTACTTACAGCTAATTTTCATCTTCTCTAACTACAATTCATGAATTGTAATTCCATGTAACAGCAGTAGGTGGGTGGCGAATATGCTCAGGAATTTAGTCTTTTGAATAGTATTCTCACATACTCTTCCTAACCATAGGAAAGAAGCCAATCTTATTTACAGATTTCGCATATCTTAGCAATTCTAAACTCCATAGATTTGGCCTGACTTCATCTCCATTATCTACTACATTCTGTTCCAATGCATAAAATATGTAGCAGCACAAACTAATCTTCAAAGAACTTTTGGATAAAGAGTTCTGTCTTACTTTTGGATGTGTCAGAGGAAGCTTATTATAAGACAACAACGATACTTCAATTTCTACCAAAGTCTCGTAACCCTGTAAGGTAAGGGGTACGCCATATTTTTTTCACTTTTTATTTCATGTACTAGTGATACTTCATATATTCTAATCCTCGTTGAACTGTTAAAATGTTATAATCTATTTGATCTAGTGTTTTATCTATTTCTTTCTTTTTCAAATTTATTCTTCTTATTTATATTCTTTTAGATGCTAGAAAGTACAAGCAACGTTTCTTGTATTTTAAAAAGCATTTTAATCCGTCACAGGCAATGATTTCTAGAATTTCAAATTTTAGGGTAGTTCCTTTATAAGGGTTTTATTTTTCACTTCTGTCAAATTGTTTGTCTCTTGTATTTTAATAAAAGTATTTGGAGAAATTGAGATAAAGAAGTGTCAGAGAGCATACATCTCAAAGCACCAAGTCAAGTCCCTTGTAACTACATTACACATAAACTGGAAGTAATTTGTCAATTAAAAACAACAGATTTATTAGAAAATGAGGTGCGCAGTAGATTTACCTCCCCGTGGTGCACCTGGTAACACTTTTCAGTGGCTAAAAGATCCAGAACTTGGCATTATGTTAGATTAATGAACTCTGTTTCAGCATGTTTTTTTTTTTTATTTCTCTGTTCTTTTTTATTTTTCGTTGTTCTTTTTTTTTTTTACTGTAACTGTTCATAATCTGCCATGGAAAATAAAAAATATATATATAAAATTATGCAGACAGCATGTTTTATTATAAAATTATGCAGACAACATGTTTTATTATAAAATTATGCAGACAACATGTTTTATTATAAAATCTAAACCACGTATCATGAATCTTAAACAGAAAATATTTAAATTACTTTTGTCTAAATACATTAAGTCCCGTTCATAAAAAACTCCACAACTTTTATTTAACTTCTTTCCAAAATATAAAAACTTTAGCGTTATAATATTTAAATTGAAAGCCCCACTTTCAAATTTTGAATTTTAAGCCATGTCCCCTCCCCCCCAAATAAAATTAAATGTGTGAAAAAGAGGAATAATAAACAAGAAACATATTTCATTTTGCTTGTTTGGCAACTTTTCAATTTGTCACAATTTTTTCTCAAAAATTCCATTTTTTTGCATTTAAATCGGAAAACAACCTCAATCGAATCGTATTTGAAATGGTATTCCTTAAACGCCATGGAGATTATTCAAATGCATAAAAAAACTTAGTTATTTTTCAGATTTTATCTATGCAAATTTAAGGAAAAATTTAATTGGCGTAATGCTTTAAAACCACTTCAAAAAGAAAAGGAAGTAAATTTATAAAAGGAGCTGCCATCGTGAGGGGAAGTAGCGGAGTCAAACGATAGAAATCTTTTAAAGCATTTTTTTCTTTATCTTGCTGCTTCCTGATAAAATTCTGAAGAAATCCATTGAGGGAAAATGTTTGTTTAAAATATATAATTATCCGGAAATTACAGCAGGCAGAAAAATTGTTAATACAATGTAACCATAAACATTATTAATGCAGCTGCAATTTAACAAAATCGCAATAGATAAAAATAAAAGGAAGCAAGATTAACAATAACTTATAGAATTTAAATTAATATTGCGAGGTCATTTCTAAGAACTTATCCTTTGAATCTCATATTTTATTTGTAATAAGCAAATGCTTTTCCCTAGCATTTGGTTCTTTGAGATATCATCTATTCTCATTGCAGAAATTTAAATAAAATGTAACAAAAGTGCAACGATTTTTTTTTTTATATCAGATGACCCCTGGGTAGTGCTAAATAAGTAACAGCGAGGTGCAGCCCTTGCGTAAGGCATAAAAATAAGGGTCTCTGTATTGTCAGCTGCATTAAACAACAACAACAGATAAGCTCAAAATAATGATTTTAACACTTAAGTATCCATTTTAATACGTTAGTCCTGGAAAATACAATAATTATAGATCTATCTACCCATATCATTAGTAAATTCATTCATAATTAATTAAGCTTGGTTGGACAGATTTTAAAAGTGAAGCATTTGAATGCATTTAAAAAAATTTAAAATATTTTATACTGTAAAATGAATGTCAAGGCCCAGTCAGAGATCACTTTATTAAAGCTCCTTTTATTTCCCTTTATAAATTAGTCCATAACTGTTTTAAAAGAATTTGTTAAGCTGCAGACTGCTTCTTGTTGATATTCCTGACATATTTAATAAATCCGTTCCCCCCCATCCCCTCCCCGCCAACAAAAAATCTTTTCAACTGTAACATTTGCTTTTCATGAGGAATTTTTTTCTTTAATTTTTAATTCTTGTGGATGAATTTATTATTTTTCTGGACCACTTTTTCCTTCATGTCTAAAAAAATTTACAAAGTTTAATCATACAGAAAATAGAAGCATTGTATAATGTTCATTCATAGCTTGAATAAAATAATTTCATAAACACTTTACAATTTTTTTTTTAAATACTTTTTTAAATTACTGTTGTCTAAATAGATTAATAGCCGTTCATAAGAAAAAAAAATCAACGGCTTTTATTTCAACTTCTTTCCAAAATATAAAAATATTAGTGTTATGATATTTAAAAAACGGAGGCCCCATATTCAAAATTTTTACTTTTCAGCCACGTTACCCCTCCCCAAATAAATAAATCAGTGAAGAAGAGAAATAATAAACATCTAGCAACGTATGATTTTGCTTGCTTTTTTCAAATTTTTTAATTTTTCAATTTGCTCAATTTTTTTTTCAAAAATTCGAAATTTTTGATTTTAAAATTCTTATTCGCATTTTAATTTATTTTTTTATGCTGGCTATTACCGTATGGACATATAGGTCTATTTCAGCACACTGGTAAAAAAACTCACCTAACGATTTTTCCGGCTCTAGTCATGTAATTGTTGAAAACCCCTTACTTTCTGATTTCCTTACTTTGTTATGTTGTTGTTGTTTCTTATCCCACTTTGCTGGCCAAGCCCCACGAGCCCATGCGTACTCATGATTGAAGGGAAGGAAGCAGCTTCTGTTGTGATGGAGCACCCGTAGGTAGAAGTCTGACTTTGGCTCCTTGACGCTCTTACTGTCATAGGAGACCGAGACCTACGGCTTCAAGTGGTTCTGAACCACTGCAAACATTCATGGCACCGCCGGTGATTCGAACCCGAAACCTGTGGCACCGAGCGCCAGACGGCCATTCAGGTTCCAAATGTGTGAATGCCAATGGCACGCGGTGTTCCCAGGTGTCAATCGAAGTACTGACCGCGCCCAATGATGCTTGACTTCGGTGATCGAACGAGAACGGTATATTCTGTATGGTATGGCCGTGGGCTTTACTTTGTTATTTGTGCCAAATACGCAGCAATTCTCTGGCCCATAACCTTGTTGCAAAAACAGCATATGTAAGCGTTTCCAACATTCAATTACTTTTTATTTTTAAAGTAAATCGCCCAATTGAAATAAAAATTGTATTTAAACCATACATTTTGCAGAAAGATACATTTAAAATATACTATATATCACGAAAAAGATGCATTTATTAAAGAATTTTTTTTTAATTAAACTAAAATCTTTTCTTGTTTTAATTATTCAACAAAATATGAAAAAAAATCAAAAATAATAATAATAATAGTAATTCATTAAAAATATGCAGATCGCAAGAGATGTCGCAAGAGTTCCCTGCGTTGTAGGGGTTATTATTCTCCCTTGGCGACGCTTCCTCAATCGAGGGAAGGGGCATCTCGTGATCACTCATCTCTCAATTTTGCATAGTCTTCATTGTTTGAAAACAACGTTATCTAAACTAAGATTTGTGTTACAGATATTATCATTATTTATTCCAAGGGCATTTCAAAAAGGGTAATCCCGATATTTAAAAATGACTCCACTGCGAAGCAGTTTACGACATTTAATTAAAAATTATCTTAGCATGAAACACGATACATTTATCGCATACTAAAATTACGAACAGCATTTTGAAGATTGTTTTCGGTTGTTGAAAATTGTTTCTACTTCGAGCAGTTTACGGAATTTAATTGAAAAATAAGAAACACGATACGAGTACGAACAGCATTTTGAAGATTGCTTTCTGATTACTGAAAATTGTTTCGAAGCAGTTTACGGCATTTAATTAAAAAAATCTTAATATGAAAACAATATATGAGCACAAACAGAATTTTGAAAACATTTGTTTCCTGGTGCAGAGGGGCAAGCATCTTTACTATTTTATTTATTAATTTATTTAGGAGCACTAATTCAAACTAAACGCTTTTCGGAATTTCAACTTCAGTTAAAATGATTTTGTGCGAATTTCTTACTGCAGAAAAATCAAGCAAGAACTCTCTATTGCTTTAATGCCAATGCCGTTAATTTATTCCAGACAGTATGAACAAAAAAAGCTTTTTATTATAAATATTTATTATGAAATAACCTGAATAAAAGATTAATTTGTAATGAATGAATAATAGTTGTATTCCACGTAAAAGAAATTTGTAAAATAAAAACTTTTCACATAATAAAACTAAACGCGAGTCATAAATCGATCGTTCAGTCAATTATATTATAGCAAACATTTTAGAATTATTAATAGTTTTAAAAAAGTGTGTGCTATTTTCTTGAACAATGAAATGTTTTGTTCTTAAATCTGCTTTCTTCTATTTTATTTGCCTTTTTTGGAACATTTCTTTCGGCAACTCTTCCAGAGTATCTCAAAATCAACGTGTGTTAACGTTAATCATAAAATTGTAACAAACCAAACAGGATGGTATTAACTCTAACTGTGGTGGACCGTTAGCGCCACCTATAGAACCAAATGGTGATAATAAAATTTAAACCAGGTAATAAACTTATGCGTACTCGTAATTTTTTAAGTATATTTTTGTCTACGTAAATGTCTGTCCTGTGTGAACCCATGTTCAGTGAACCCATGTTTAAAATAAAGAGCTTAAAGTCATGGATATCACCTTATTGAAGCCATATCATCCTATATAATCCAAAAAAGGAATTATGTGCCAAAGTACCTGAGGTACTCTAGCACTTAATTGTGACAGGCAGGGACAAACTGCAATCACCCGTTTGCTCAGTGGACACCTCAGAACTATGACTTTCTCAGATGGTTTGAGAGCTTTCAACACTTGCACCAAGTGCTCCTCTGAGCAGGCTCTTCACTATCTCACATATTGGGGCTCAGATGTCAGGATCCCCTTGACAGTCCGTTGATGGTCTTGGACTTTCTTCGGGTGTTTGGATTCATGGACTTAGTCTAGCCCCACTGGACTTTGTGGGGATAGGCGAAGAAGAAAGAAAAAGAAGACTGTGCCCAACAAGTAAGATCAATTTGTTTTTCAAAAACTCTTTATTTATTCTTCCTTATTTATTTCATCGCCTTCAAAGTAATCCCTTCCGGACACAATGCACTTATCCCAACTTTTTTCCAATCCTCAATGCATGCTAAAAGGTCATCGGCAGGGATGGCCTTTAAAGCGCTCGCCGATGCACGTTGAATCTCTTCAATCGACTCAAAAAAGGTGTCCCCAGAGTGGTCTTTTTGAGTTTAGGGAATAGCCAGAAGTAACACGACGCTAAATCAGGTGAATACGGTGGTTGTGGAACGATATGGGTTTCATTTTTTGGCGAAAAAGTCATGGAGAATCAATGCAGTGAGCAATACGTAGC